GAGCCAGAGATCTACGTCGCACGAGGTAGAGATAACCCGGAGGAAGGTAGATGAAAGAGAGAAAAAACGTCAGCGCGATGTGGCCCGCCCGTATGAGGGGTAATGATCGGCCCGAACCGATATGCGATCTTAATCGAATCTCACTAAACTTACTGCGTGTCTCTCTCGGCTATTTCTCCGGGACGCCGGGGGTAGTGGAGAAGCGTGGGTACCGTGGAGAACAGAACTTGTTCCGATAATAATTTCGCGGCTGGTCGCGTATCGTCGGGATCGTCACGCGACGTGGCGCACCGAACGTACGTACGGCGTGCGCGGGGAAGGGCTTGCCTCTGGCAGGAACGTGCGTTCGTTCGTGCGTATGTGCGTGCGTCTGTGCGTCGCCGTGCGATACGAGATACACGCGCTACGGCCGCGCTCGCGCTCGTTTGTTCGCCGTGCCGTGCCGTATGCGTGTCCGGAAGGCGTAGGGGGATCTAGATATCTAGAATATCTAGATTCTAACGCCGATGCGTCCAAGATGTTCCTAGTGCTTCTCTATTCTTCTTCCTCGACGCCCTCTGCCAGTTATCCCCTCGCAACATCGCTCACTTCCGGAGTATCGACGTTGTCGCGTTTTCATTTATCAGCTTCTACCGATGTACATTTATTTTAATCTTATCGATTTTAATTTACTCTTTTCATCTTTTTTTAGTACTAAGAATTAATCGCTATATTGGTAGAAATGAACATAAGTCGTGATCACAGTAGGGTTTGTGAGATTAGATTGGATTGAAATTTCACCAATCACGAAAAAGGAAGCTAAGATCTGTTTTTTATTACACTGTGTGTACTAGTTCACAACAGAAAGTGCAGCAATAAAAAACAGATCGCTAATATCGAGTTTAGTGCACTTTGCTTTAATTAATTAAATTCTAATCCGATCTCAATTTAAAGGTGGAGTCAAGATCTTATAATATAAATACTTTGAAACATCTAATCGACCAATCGGAAGATAGAATTTTACAAATTGACCAATCAAAGAATGTTTCAAAGCATTTATCGCATCACGTTAATCGTATATCCTTAGGTCGGTATTAATAGACTAGTATTTATAGATGATTCTTATGGTACGTATCCACTGAGCGCGTTACTCGTCGCGTCGTCCATCGCATCACGACGCGAAAGAGAGAAAGAGAGGGATATAAACTTCACTCTTCTCTGTTTCGCGTCGCGTCGTGACGCGTGGACGACGCGACGTGCTCAGTGAATACGTACCCTTATATTAAAAATTGTTTTAGGTATATATAATATTAACCTGCAGAAGATCGGAAACCCCGTTATGGACTCGATAGTGGCCATCTTTTTTGCCACTCAATGACAATTGACAAAACAGTTCTAGCCCTTAAAATAAAAAAATCGATCAAAAACATACTGGTCCTCGGAAGGTTAAGATGTACAAGCCAATCAGAAGGCAGTATTGTAGAATGCCCTTAAGAATCATTTGTTAAGGTACCTTTTTATGCCGACGCTCGACGCTCATTTTTAAACAAATTACGTGATAAAAATTGAATATCAAGCATTAATTTCGATCATGTGACCTATTTGGCGCTAAAAATGAGCGTCGAAGGTCAGCATGAAAAGACACCTTTAAGCCTTAAAATTACGAATGCAGTTTTGATGATCATGAAAACTTGCCCTTGGCTAGCTATCTTTTTAATATAACATTATAACACCTTGCCGGTCATTAAACATTAGGCGGTCCTTTTTCGTTGCACTAGACTGCACTAAAATTTTCTATCTCACTTCTACTAAATATACATCTGCTTCAAATATATATCTATTTCATTTCAAGTGCAGTAAGTGTACACCGTGTTCATCCACAATGAACAGCTCTATTATATCATATAATAATTATAATAATAATACGTTGATTGTATAAACATGTAAGGGGCTCCGCACAATAAAAGGAACTATATAGAATTAATAATATAATTTAACAATATATGATTTTATTTACAACTGTATATAAAATACATTTTTTCTCGGGACAGTTTATATTTGCACAATTTTTAAAAAATATTAAAATAATTGAAGTATTAAAAGGCTTTTGGACTAACGCTTGTTGTCTTATGTGGAAATAAATATACAATTATATAAAATAAAAATTACAATAAAATCTATTTAAAAATTTCGACCTTTAATCTGGTCATCATAAATTGTTGTAAAAATCACTGATGATGATTAAAGGTGGAAACGTTTGTGATTAAATTTTATTGTAATTTTTGGGTGTCACTGCTGAACATAATAACAAACAGCTACTATAATTGTATATTGAGAAATGGGTTCTCCTTTATTCTATGAATCTCGGACAGACCTGAATTCAGGCGGAGCCTTGGCGCCTATCCTTTATTATTTTCGCTCCGTCTCGCTCTACTGAGATGACGGTGAGGGGGAAGCATTTTCGACTCACGAGCAAAGTGTTGAATATACTAGGCCTGCTGTAGTCAATTGTGCCTCAATCTCGTAGCTTTGATCACGCAATTTATCCGTGTACTGTGCGCGAGATTAAGAACAGAGACTACTGTATCTTGTACATATATTTTCAGAAGATCTGGCGAAACGCCAATTAGACACGGTGGCGTCTAATTCCGTCGCGGTCAGCTGAGAATTATAACACGTATTTTTCCACTCACTATCGTATTTCACCGGGAGATCAATATGCGTCTAGCACATTTTTTCTTATTATTCAATTGTTTGTCATTCTCGATATCGAAAAATATCGTGCTAATTATTACGGATGATCAAGATTCTATTCTAGACGGCATGGTAACGTCTTTAATTCTATTTTATTCAAACTAGTTAACAAAATAAAGATTAATAAAATTAATAAAAATTCAATCTAAAATATATTATATGTAGATATATATATAAATTAATAAAGTTTATTTTAAAATGTATCGACAAATGATCCCGCACTAATCATAATAAAAATAACTTCGGTCAAATTGACTCAAATTAATTGTCATTATATTTTGCAGATTATGAGATAAGGCCGCAGCACAAACTTTTGCAAAACGCATGCAGTATCTAACCAGAATCTTTCCTTTCCTCCCATTCCATGGAAAAGAATTTCGATTGGTTAATTCTCTTATGCACTATGCGTTATGCAAGAATCTGTGCTGTGGCCAATACTGATCAAAAGCTTTTTTAGACAAAATTATCAAAAATTATTCTATGCTCTGATTAGAACCGCAATTTCCTAAATAACACACAGAACCTAAAAAATGTTAACAAAGCATTAAAGAAGCGCATATAAGCGTTTTTTTAACGCTTATGCTACAGCAAAATCAATCCATTTTTAGTTTTACGTAGAAACTTTTACAACATATCTCATAAATCTACAAAATATGCGATCACCATCAATTTGACCGAAATTATTTTTATCATATGATTAATGCAAGGTCTTTTATAGAGGAGATGTAAAAAATAATAAAATAAGATTCCAATTATTTTAATTAGAAAACAATTATAGTCGTTTATACTTTGGAAGTGCGTGCTTACCCTGATTTAATTTATAATTTTAGACGCCAATGAAAAATACTTTGAATCTTATAGGAGGTCGAGGTGCTACGTTTACAAATTGCGTAAGTATAAAAAATGCGGACATTATTTCATCATTTCTATTCGGTTTGATGTGTAAAGAAAGAATCTTCGTTCAGTTTGTAGCCACACCGGTTTGTTGCCCTAATCGGGCATCTATTTTGACTGGACGATATCAACATAATCATCTAACGGTAAACAATTCTGTCGCCGGTGGTTGTAATAGCGCGCGATGGCAACAATTACAAGAGCCGACAACGTTCGCTTCTCTTTTGCAAAATATCATCGGATATAAAACGTTTTACGCAGGGAAATATTTGAACCAGGTAGACCCTCTTCAATGATCGATTCTTCGACTAGAAGAAAATTTCGTTTTACGATGTACACGAATGATATAAGCAAAAATAATTTTATTTAAATTTTATATGATTTTTTAATTCAAAATTTGAGGTCTCTAATATAATCGAAGTAAAAATTGGATTTTAAAATTTGTGGAATGGAATTTTAAAATCTTTTTACTTTTTTCCATAATTATTATTTGTGATAATTAAAATAAATTAATACACATGCGATAGTATGGAAAGAAGGAAACTGGCGGTGCGGCTCATGTACCATTGGGATGGGACTGGTGGGCCGGTCTTATAGGAAACTCAAAATATTACAATTATTCGTTATCCATAAACGGTACTGAGAGAAAATACGGTGATAGCTCGAATGATTACCTTACCGACGTGATCGTGAGTATACAAAAATGTTCAACATACAACTGACAGTAAAAAATCTTGTCTGATTCAAATATAGCGAATAAAATTGTATTTGCTATTTTTCCATTTTTTTTTTGAACATACTAAAAAAATAATTATTTTTATGAAACTTTTTTTCTCTATTAAAAAACTACCTGTGAATTGTACATCATTTTGGTCTTCATCGTACACGAGAATTTGAAGCCTTTTCATTTTTTATTGTAATTATTTGAGCTCTATAAGCTTTGTTCATTAATAGAACAAATAAAAAAATCTGCTATATATATATTATATTAATTAAATATATACATATTTCAGAATAATCTGGCTGTAAATTTTATCAAAGAGTACTCCGGTGACCAACCTTTTCTTATGGTGTTGGCACCTCCAGCCCCTCACGGGCCATTTATACCCGCAGTCAGACACAAGGATAAATACATCGGCATAAAAGCAAAAAGAACACCAAACTTTAATATACCCGTAAATCAGGTTACAACATTTGTCCAACATAACAATTATTTTTTTCAAAATATAACTCTGATTCTTAAAGATCATTTTAGATAATACATAATTTATGCTAAAAATCAAGATATTTTATTTATAATCTTATATGCCATGTAATATGGAAAACAGTTAAAGAATTAGAATTTTTTCAAAATATACACATACATATATAAAAATAAAATATACAAAAAAACAATCACGCACAATACATGGTATATAAAATTATAAATAAAATTCTCGGATGTAAAGTCCAAATATAGATTCTTATTCTTGAAAATAGGATAAACATTGGCTAGTTAGGAAAGGTCCAACCCCTTTGCCAGATGATATATTACCGAAATTAGACGACATATACAGGCGAAGATGGGAAACCTTATTAGCGGTAGACGAACTCGTTAAGAACATACACGATTTATTAGAAGAGCGAAATCTTTTAGACGACACTTACTTTATTTACACCTCCGACAATGGATATCACGTTGGTAAGTGATTTAATGGTGCACTAGGCTGGTATACAATCCATTCTTATTTCATCGATTTGAGACAACTTACGACTTTACTTAAGACGGTCTTAAACATAAGACTCGGGCGACAGTACTAACCGGTAGGTACTGAAGTATACTGAACATTAGGAAACAAAGAACCATTAAGACTAAGATACACAAAAACATACAGTAAGATGTAAACAATGAACAGATAAATAATTTTTTGCTACTTCTTACATTATTGCCTTATGATCTATACTATGATTAGCCGAATCCCTTACTGTTTATGTCTATATATATTTTAATAAACTGCATATTCAATCATCGCAATGATCACGCTTTATCATTTATATGACGAGATGGTTCCATGTTTTTGTCGTACTTCCAGTAGGTAGAGCCATCTTAAATTTTGGAAGCTCTACTAATTTTAGAAGCTCGATATATAATATACATATTTTAAACGTATATACATTATACATATTTTTAAATAATATTTAAATATATTTTTAAAATTACTCTCTTGTCTTTTACAGCTTTTACTAATAAATAATATTATATATTTTTTACAAGGTGCATTATTTTTTAATAGGACAGTTCAGCATGCCAATAGATAAGCGTCAACCTTATGAAACAGATATACGTGTCCCGTTACTGATATCCGGTCCCGGAATCGAGCTGTCTACGGTTTCTGCGCCAGTCAGCAGTGTAGATATCTTCGCCACGATTTTGAACATTGCCGGCATGAAATATCCATCGGACGGCACGACATTATTTAATTCAAATCGTAACTTACCTCAAGATCGCATTGTTTTGATAGAATATAGAGGAGAGAGGTCCAACGAGCCATCGCCTGGTTGTCCAAACGACGATTTGAATGTCACGGCAAGTCTCAAATATTAAAATTTTTATTTTTCAAAATTTATGTTTCTTTGAATTGCTATGTTAATTACTTTTTAGTTATGCGTGGAAGAGTTGGCGTGCAAATGTCAAGACGCTGTGAACAACACATTCAGTTGCATTCGCCGCGTTTCGCCGAATTTCAACAATATCTTCTGCGTCTTCGAAGATGATCAGGTACCGTCCGCGTCTTTTAACACTCGAAAGAGTTTTGTGTACTACAGATTTTTGATATCTTCTTCAGAGATTCATTGAAGCTTACGATATGAATATCGACGAGTACCAAATGGTGAATATCGGATACACTATGAAAAAAAGATTGAGATACAAATACAGAAAACGTCTTAAGAGAATGGTGGTATGTCAGGCCGAACAATGCGTTTTCACACCGGGGAATAAATATAAGTAGCATACATTTGTTAATTTCTATTCTTAATATTAGATATTCTTATACATGTGTTATATGTCAAGTGTAGTAAGTACGCGAAACTACATAATTATCATATTTAAAAAATAACGCTTTTTTTTTAAGATATAACTATGTAAATTTATTTTTATTTTTAATTAAATTGTTTTCTCTTGCATATACATTATATTTTTTTATAGTATCGAGAAGTTAACTTTTGAATTTTGAAATTCCAACTTATTTTAATTTCTTACAAATTGAATTCTTGCAAAATTAAAGCGAATTTAATTGTTATTATCTTTTATGAAAAATTCTGATAATTTTTGTTCTAATAGAGATGATAATCTTTCGAATGTAATTTAACTCTCATCTAAGCTCTTATCTAATTGTTTTTAAAACAAAAGATAAATTTACATAAATACAAATATTATTTAAAATCATTTGAAATAAAATAATATAATTGAAATATATATATGTGTACATGTATAGTATGTATAGTATATATATATATATATAAGATTATATTATATATTATATCTCATAATATTATATATGTATTTAATTTATTATAATTTGGAAATTGCAGCTTAAGCGACCAATATTCGCGCAACTTTTTCAGCTTATTTTTAGCTCTAAATTCACCCCTTGAGGTATTGACGTATAATTAAGAATCACCCTATATACTGTCTATTCTAGATCGGAAGTAAGAGCACCGAAAGTTGTCTTATTTCGAATTATTGCATTTATGGAAATCGCCGTCGGAGAATACGCCGCGAATCTGGATATAAGAATAACTCGCCTTGCGCTCGGGAGGGAGGGGCGCGCTCCCCGCGACGGAACTGTTTTCTAAGCAAATATTTTTATTAAAGCCCCGCGGAGAGAGTCTCGAATATCTGAATAGCAATGGCGATATTCGCGGAGGAAAAAGGAGCAGGGATGGAAGGAGGAGGTGGTGGAAAAAAGCCGAGCGTCGAAGACAGAACGCAATACTATATCGGACGTGTACATATTTATATTGCTAAAACGTTTCTGGTTCCTCCAGAGGATTTGCAACGATACGCGCGAAACAACGATTCTCGCTACTCGATATACTTTAACTTGCTCGCGCTATTATTTCACGTGTAAGCGATATAAGCCATTTCGATTCGCGCACAGTACAGGTGAATGTGGAGAAATAATACGGAAAGATGTATGTGATTGTTATACTACAGATGAATAATTAAGAGAAACGAATATGTAGAGAATGTTAAATATAAACGCGACAATTCTTTTATTTCAATTTTTATTATACATATTATTCCATACAACACCAGAAATTTACAGCAATATTGCTGCAATGTTACTGCAATATGTGTATTACTGAAATAATAATCTGTGTGCTGTATGGGATAAATTATATATATTTATTATGTTTTTTGCATATTTATTCTTATAATTATCTTCTAATTATTATTTTGTATATATGTATGAACATATGCATACATACAGAGGACATTCTGTATATGTTACATGACGTACTGTATGTAATATAAATAATTCCATCTTTTTATATTATATATGGATCTTTTGAATATGTACAGGGTGTCCCAAAATTGACGATAAATATTTTAAGGACAGATTTTTTTATCTTTTATATTTAGAGATTTTTCGTTAAAAAAAATATGTTTTTAAAACATTTACTATCAATTTTGGGACCTTATATATTAAAAAAAAATATATATATATAGGGTAAAAGCAGGGATTATGGAATAGCGTTTTTTAAATTAACATTGCTCCGATATAAATGCATATGAAGACTTTAAATTTGCACCGAACTCTTGAGGAATGTTAGCTACAACATCTAATAAATGAAAGTCGCCAAAATTTAAGTCCAACGTCAATATTAACAAAAAATTAAAAAGTGGGAAAATGGGGGGTCTAAAAAATGGGATGTAATATGAAATACCAATGAAATTTAGATCATAGTAATAAATAACACAATAAATAAAGTCCAAATTTATTTATTTATGTAAACTGATTACGAAAAATAGAAAACTGTCCACATTTTTATTGTACAATAACACAGAAGTATAAAAACATCTTTGAACGTTATTACACATGGACAATAAAGAATAAAATTAAATCTTGAATCATTAAATTATGACGTACACTGCTGTTCATTAATCGAGTCCCTCGAGTGTAGGAGGGTGGAGAAGTGTGTAGGTAAGCGTCATCTCATCTACACCCAAGTGCGACTAAAGTGAGACTCGATTATTGAATAGCAGTGTACAATAAATATTAGCATCTAAAATAAACATTATTCACAAGAATCTATTCCATATTCTCAACTCGATATATTCCACATTACCTGCATGTCGTCATATGACAAATAAAGTCTTCCCGTAGCAATAAACAAGTTTGAAATAGCAATTAATCTGCATAATATTGTTCATGCAACATTATTAAAAGCGTCTGTGCAATATAAGCATTAAAAAAAACTTACCTTCAGTTTGTGAGAACACTTTTTAGAAAAAGCTGCCGGATCTCCTGACGTAACGAAAATGAATAAATGTTAATTGTAGCAAAACGGTTGGTCGGACTAAGTTCATTGCTTGTTATGACATGTTTGGTAACAGTTGCAATAACTTTCAGTGATTGCCATATTGCAATGCTTTGTTTAAAAAATAAGCCACTATTCCATATTAGTAGTCTATGCCATAATCCCTGATTTTACCCTATATATATATATAAAAAGTGGGACCATGTATCTCTCATTGTCAGTGCACATGCGATCAGGAATGGTTAGATGCTGGCGCATGCACGAATATTCTTCAAAGTGCGACGAGGCTGGTGAGTACCGGCGCACAAAGCGTCCTGGATTTGCCCCTTTCGGTGTCAAGAAGCGTGAGAGACGGTCTTTCTTCGTAACGTGAATGAACGTCAAAATGTTTGTAGACTACGGTGGTAGCCGGCCACGGGCCCGTGGGTCCGTTTAATCGTTTGCACAGATGGCATTACGACGAATCTATCGGCCGCGTGCGCGAAGATCGTCTTTGAGATTATTCGTTAGCGAAGTTGCGGGACGTTTCTCAGCGACAAAGCCGAAAGCAAGATCGGGACTTATTCCGCAAGATTTGCATTTTGCGATCCGCCTATGGAAAATGGATGAAAATGAATCGCCAGAAAAATTCGTTATGCGAAACCGAGTAGGCAAGTACAGATACACAGGGTTGCTCTTACATAAAAATTTATTAAAGAAGAATAGAAGGTAGTGATTAATTATTATTTATTTTAAGTATTAAAAGTATCGAATAACAGTGCCTTTAATATTCAAAATAAGTAATTAATTTGGATTTCTGTAAGGGTTGAAGGAGACGTGATTGCGAAATTCCAATCTTTGAAAAATTTGTATTTCGCAATATGTATATACGATTTTTTTATTGTACTTTTTCTGCAGAACTTTCCATGTCTTAAAATTCTACACGTTAATCGTTAAAAAAACAGACCTAAGAAGAATATAGATTCTTGAGCTTACAATAACCGTCTTTCCGATTTCTTTCCGGATTTTTGCGAATCGATATTTCATTGATACTGCATAGCAGTTCAATTCGATGCAGTTTGCGATCTACATGTAGTTTAGTTGTATTTTCCTGACAGGAAGGCACAACGCGAGCGAAGCGATACTATTGTACGAGGATTTTGGCGGATCATTCGATCCTCGATCGATCGCTCGATTGGGCGTTTACTGATCTTCGTTACATCGCTGCTGAAACGTGTAAGAGTCGGCTTGCGGACGAGACCTTTTATTCTGTGTTTATTGATCGTTCGAGCGAACGATCGCCTCCTTGTTGGCGAGGATCAATGGCTTTCGTTGCCTTTCTAGCCGTAGATCTAGGCTTTACTTTTCGTCCCCCTTTCTCCCTCTATCCAGGGGTTCCAGCAGATACTTATGCCAAGTTGCACTTATATTGCAGGGAGAATTACAAAAGGGATCGATTTATCTTGAAAAGATCGCCGGGTCTTCTAAAAGAAGATTTACATATATTAAATACATAACAAGTTTACTGTATAAATATATTCTACTTATTATGGTGCTTTAATTATATGAAAGAAATAGCGTTTCGCTTAGTTTTTCAATTGCAACTTTTATTTTCTATCACTTACCGTTAATCAGCTATTTCATGATATACAATTTAATCACCAAATGTCAATTTGTCGATTATAATAATAATATTATATAAATCAAATAAGTAAAGAGAGTGCAAATATTATATAATTATAATATTATATAATAATATTATGAAATGTAAAAAGATTTGGCAATCAGTATTGTTATCAGCAGCGAAATATCCCGATCTCGTTCTTTTAAGATTGAAAATCATAACATTCGTCGGACGCATTAAAAATTAAGCAATTTACAATCTCGAGCTTCTCGGTGATTTGTCTTCAAACGGCATCCCTTGTTATTCGATAATTAGCTGCTCCCTCCTTCGGTGTAACTCGGCGCGAAGCGAAGCGTATCCTCTGATTTTCCTTTGGCCGACTCGCGCCTTCTCCTCTTTGCGACTTCTACCTCCGAGACCGGCAACGTGGAAAATGCGAATTTACTGTAAATTAGTGAATTGGAAAATAACGGAGTGGAAGCGCTTCTTTCCTGACGGACCTCATGACGATCGCGTTGTACGCGTAACAAGATCCGAGACCATAAATCATAATTAGTAAAACGAAAATTATCAGAGTCCATTTCCAAGTCTGCGATTAGCAAAAATTTTTAAAAGCTATCTTCCAAAATTGTTCACTTCAAAGAATAACATAAATCTAGACTATTAAAAAAAAAAGGTAAGAAAATAAATAATAGATAATTTTAAAAAGTGGTATATTAATAAAAATCAATCCTTCTCTTTAAACTATAGATAGTAATGTTTCCATATTTAACTTTAAATAATATTAAATTAATATATGCATGTATAAATTGTACTTGTAATTACATCTCCTTTCTAATTAGTTTTCTATTTTCTACATTTTTCATTTTTAACAGTGTAGATTTGTATTATTCTTTTCTTAACTTTTTCAAAGATGTACACTAAAACGTATGTTAAAA